GTACCACCACGGCACATGTCGCACTCGTTCTTTGCACACTCTTCCGCAGTGTCATACTGCGAACACTCGTGTGCGTCATAAATATCCTTCGCATCGTCCCACAAATTCGAACTGAGAAACAAAATAACAGTGTGTGTGCTGAGATCGTGTGTGTGCCGATGTCGTGTGTGTGTGCTGATGACAGATCATGTGTGTGCTGATGACAGATCATGTGTGTGCTGATGACAGATCATGTGTGCTGACGAGAGATCGCCAACTTGTGGAAACACTTACACGCTGTCCCACATGGAGTCAACTTGTTTGCTGGCACCCTTCAGCATATGGGTTGGTCGAGAAGTAATCTCAGCGTCGATATCAGACGTAGACTGGCTTAGGGTCGTTTTGTGAACCTTGTGCTCGCCTTCCTTGATCGCTGGCAGGTCGTGATGACTTGCTACGGAGATCGCGGCCAGACACGTAATGGCGGAGAGAATCTGCATTTGTAAAATTTATAGACCACCGATAAAATAAGTAGTCACGTTTTCAAGGAGACTGATCCGTCCCAAGACAAAGACAGCCAGCCATTCAGCCTGCGTTCGATAGGTCCCGTTCACACAGGCCATTTCTGGCGGGACCTGTCCGCGTGCAAGGACTGGGAGTATGCGGTGAGTGACCGGCACATAATCTTTTCCCCCTATAAAAACCACGTATGCTGTAGACCCCCGTCAGACCCCCAGTCAGTCATATAGATCCCAGTCAGTCATATAGATCCCAGTCAGTCATATAGACCCCAGTCAGTCAGTCACACATAGATCCCCCAGTCATGTGCGTTCCGTCCCCTTACTGTTGATAAGTTGACCAACGGCGTCGACAATTTTACTCGCAGTGCAATTCACTTGTAGTGGTCGAGATTGTTGGACTTGGTATGTCCATTGTTGTAGTTTGCAGTCGCTCAGTCCGTTGATCGTTTGTGGTATCGCGTCTCCGTTGAGTTGTGTAATATATGCGTAAAGAGTGACGAGTCTTTTCTTGTCAGTTTCGAAGTAGCGCGGGTCAGCGACCATCTGTTCGATGAGGGAAAGTGTATTCGCACGCGCGTTTGGGAACATTGGCGACCGCAGAATTTGGGTCTCAATCTCCCATAAGTCGAACGTGTGTCTTGTGTTCAGTTGCTGGGTAATGGCATGCATTATTTTAACATGTTTGTTGATGTCTTGAAGGTCCGTTGTTACGGTCTTCAGCGGGGTGGACAAGTCGGAAGTGTACACATCGGAATTGGACTGCCCCGGGTTGGGCAGTCCTCCTACTGAGTTGGAAAGTGGGTTGGGCAACCCCGGGTGGTTCGATGCGGCCAGAGCGCTGGCCGCCCTGGATTGTGCGGCCGTGGTCAGCGTGGTCGCCAGGGCCCCGTAGGAATCGTTTCCGTGTTCCTTGAGAAACGGGTCGTCTTTTAAGTTCACTTGCGAACCGTCTTCAAATATTACGCTGTTGTTCTCTACCTGTAAATACTCGTATATCATTGCCTGGTAAGACCATGGACTAAGGAGACCAATAATGGGGTCGTCGCTCCTATCTAGGATGACTAAAGCACCCCTTGCCCCTGTCGCTATACCACTGCCTCCTGTCGCTATACCACTGCCTCCTGTCGCTATACCACTGCCTCCTGTCGTGGATTCCCAGTCCCTCAGGAATACGCTGGAAGCGGCGTGGGCTGCCTTGCTCGAACTATTAATCAATACAAAAGGTACATCTTGGACCTGACAACCAAAGAGCGTGTTAGCCACCATAGAAAACGATATGCAGGACCGAATACCCTCACGTATGTTATGGTGATCCTGCGATGACCAGTCACTTGGATCAACAGGAAGTGTCCTGCCGCCGTCCCGAGCTCTCTGAACTTTGCTCTGGATCAAGCCCGCACTAAAGACGTTGTCCGTAATCATGACAAAATTGATGGGGAGAAACTCTACCTTCTCCACTAAGCATCTCTCCGCGTCGAGTCTTGCCAAGCGCTCTAGCACACCGTCACCAGGCTTGTCTATGAACATAATCTTCAGTCGTCTACGACAATCAGCACTGTGGCTGAAAATCTCCTTCTCCACCAAGTTCAAGCTGCTGGGGACAATATAGCATAGAACTTCTATGGATGGATTAAGCTTTGGCATCGCTTCGGCAACCGATATTGTATTGCTTGTTTCCGGGCCGATTGTTTCCCTGCCGCTTGTTTCGCGGCCTAGTACCAGCACGTCGACAACTCCTGCTCTTAGCAAATCCGAAAACGAAACAAACGCATTTAGTATCCGCAGCGCGCGATCATCCGCTATTATAACCTTAATACTCTTCCTTCCCAAGCTGTCTTTTAGGCAATCCCCAACCGCTTGGTACATTTTATGTGGTAAAATACGGTTGCAAAGATTTACTAAACATGGTATGGAACTGTACATACTGTACGTATGAGAACGGCGACGATCGCTCACGCGTGTGCAGCATGTGCGAGAAACAGCGGAGTCGAGATAATGCGACTAAATTTCAGACCATAGAACAACGCATCAAGGCGTCACAACATGGAGCTCCGGGTCAGAGCATCAGGCGCAAAGACTCGGCTGCTCCGCTACCCATCCGAGCGAGTCCCGCTACTACAAATGATAAATCCGCGTTGGAAACGATTGCGGCTGTTCTTGAGACTGATATGTACGAAATTAAACGGCGATTGGTATCCGTTGAATCAGGTTTAGAACAATTGAATGCTCAAATGATGATGGGATTTAATCAGATCCTATCCGAGCTCCAAAGTATTAAATTAGCTAGCTGGGAAAATAGAGCGCAACCGGAGCATGGCGCAGTCGAGTGCAATGCGGCAGTTGAGTCTAACGCTGAATCTAATGCCGCAGTAGAGTCTTGTACCATAGTAGAAGAGAAAATGTAATTTCTGGAAGCGAACTAGCGGGCCTTAGTCAAGAAGCGCTCTTGTAGGGCTTTAGATCCCCTCGGTTCCGAGTGCTTTCGTGGAGTCGGTTGCAAGAATACCCTGCCGTGAATTGGAGACAGTTCTTAGAGCAGAGACAGTCTTTGTTCTTGTGGGGTCGCTCGCTACACGGAATGGTCTATTATATTGCCTTTCAGCAATGGTTTGTGGGAAGCAATCGACTGAAAGCCACTTTCCCGTAGTAATGTTCAGAGGACCACTGTGCGCTGACTTTTTTGACGAACGACAGACAGCATTGATTATTGAGTCCGACCCGTACCCGTACCGCCCAACATAACCCGTACTTGTACCCATACTCATACCCCTACTCACACCGCTGCTCACTGATACCGGCCACATGCCACCCACACTACCTAAACGAGCGCCTATACCACCCGCTCATACCTCCCCACTGTCCCAGTCCAACTGGAGGTTGGTGAAAAAAATTAGTCGAGTGCAGTGTTATTGTCACAAACACCCAAGCAGCGACTTTTTGTGAGGTCGATGAACATTTGATTGGTGGTCTTCGCGGTCTGGGCGATAGTGGGGTAGAGATCCTCGACGTCTTCGCGACGGAAGCACTGCTGCTTGGACTCAGTGAGGGCCCAGCAGAGTACATCGCAAGCGACATCACTGATATCGAAGGCGTTCTCTACGGCCAGCCCCTTCGGCCGCATCAGGACGTTTGCTTCCGGCAGCCCCTTGGCCCGCATCAGGACCTCCACGCGTGCCAGACACGGAGGGATCTGCTCCGAAATTATTAACTCCCGCTCCACCGCGTCGCTCTCCGCCGCCTTCTTCAGCAACTCGAAAATCCTCACCGAACTCTCGACAACGGATATCGCACGTGTGCGCTCCTCTTGACCATTAGGCAACAGATTCGACTTGCCCGCCGCATGCAGTACGATAGCCACAGGGTCAGAAGCCAGATAACCGTCAGCGGATAAGAAAGGGTACTAAACAAACGTGGATTAGCAGTTAGTTACTCGTGGTCAGAAATCGAGTCAAGTAGTGAGTGAGTAAGTCTATACAGTGAGTAAGTCTATACAGTGAGTAAGTCTATACAGTGAGTAAGTCTGCTCAGTGAGTAAGTCTATACTCATTGAGCGAGTAGGCATAGTAGTGGGGACCGTTCGGCCACTGGTCTAGCGGGTCTATACTCAGTGGGCTAGGCGGGATGGGGCTAGTCCGGGGGGGATGGGGCTAGTCCGGGGGGAGGTGGGGCTA